GGACACTCTTTGACTGCTTGCACTATAGATGAGTAACAACTGACATTTATGCTGCTTAAGTGGGCCAACATATTCACTCATGTGTGCACATACCCTACATATTTTTATCAGTGTGTAGCCGACTCCCTGTGCAGCCTAAGGACCCTTGTTTTCCACCTTCATATCTTCTTTCCTCTGGAAGTTTTTTTTTTTTTGCTGTTTTCAACACTTGGGGATCGATCAGGTTCTACAATTTCTTTACTTTCTATGCCCAAATGGCCTTCAATTGAATCAACAATAGGTTACGTCCAAAATTACTGATGCATGTGTGTTTGCACGGCTATGGGGGAAAACTCAAGCCAAACTAAATAAATGTGATAGCCGTTCTACAGCCTCTATAAAGGGGGAAAAAAACCATAGCCCCTCTCTCAGTCACAGTTGATGAAGTTAAACATGAAGTGAGGGATTTTGCATTACTCACTCATTGCTGTAAAACTTTCACCGTCCTTCTTTTTTCCACAAATATTTAAGGTGATTTTGAAAGACCTGAATTATGCACGTATGGACGGGCTTTCTATTTTCAGTCAGCAGTTGTCAATATCAACAACTGAAATAACTGTCATTTGCACATTTTATCATCTAACACTAATGCTTTAGTTTTAATCTGCTGGCTGCAGATGTTCGTATTGTATTTTTAGGATTTCCATTTTTCTCTGTTCTGCATTTACAATATCTCTGAACGTCTAGCCATCCTGGATGGAGCATCAATCCAGAACTGTTTTTAGCCAGCATCAAAGGAAAACACCAGGGGCAAAGACTTTAAAAAAACATATGTTCTAAACCAATTTGCTATTTCAATGAGCCAAATAGAAATTTAGTCAGAAATAAGAGAAGAAAATAGTCATTGCCATGGTTACTGTAATGGTTACCTGGGCCATGAACACTCCTAAGAGGATATCGTATCATATATAGGATAGACATAGCAAAGAATGCCCTTTAAAGTAAATTTGTGATTTTTACTCTATCAAACCGACCTAACTGGTACATATATTTGTTTGACGGAGGCAGTGGTATGGTTCAAATTGCCAACAACTAATGGATAATGAGCACCTTGAATAAATACTTTACATTCATTCAATGCTGTGATGCAGCCCGTCATATCAGTCTATTAAACTTTGAATGTTTGCTCAGGCTGCTGCAATGTAGAGCTCAACTTTGCCATAATTTACTATCACCATAAACAGAGCAGAGATAGCAGCAGATAGTTAGACATCATCAGTTTTGTTTTGCACTGTCAGGCTTAATTTGACATCATCTATAAAGCTGGGAAAAGCAACGCTTTAATTAGGGGTTCACCATGCATTAAACAAACATGAACAATAGCAGTGATCTGAAACTGGAACATCTAAATGGAATGTAGCCATTGCTAATGTTGTTACTTACACCTGTACTAAATTTCTTCCTGTTGCACGTTTTCCAAATCTGGACCAACATCTCTGAATATGTCTTTGTAGGGATTAGCCTTTTCATTGACCCTTCACTGAATTTGTTCTTATTTTATCAAGTCGGCAAATCAGACAGAACATCCACCCTTACAAAGCAGCACTGACAACATCTGTCTTTTTGTATAGGTGTTTGAGCAGTCACCATCGTCCCTACTGATTCCCTGGGTGTGGAGAAATTCTTTGGCTGGCTTACATAACATTGCAGAGGGGACAGACCTCTTGGCTCCCAAACACACTACACAAGCCTCTCATGATGGTATGAGGGCCCTGACATACCATGCCAATCTCGAGCACAAATAAAAGCAGACGCGGAACCTTGTGTCTTCTGTTCACAGTTGAAAACATAGAGAAGGCTACAGCTGATGGCCAGCTGACTGCCACACTTGCAAGTAAAATCTGGGCTTGGGTGAGAGGAAATAACTAGTTAGTAGTCTACATTCCAAAGAAAGGCAACATTACAGAAAGCATAGCAAAACAATGCAGCAAATTGTTAAGTACTGCAAGTTACATCAGCTGAAAGGACTGTAAAAATAACAATTGAAATCAGAACTCCACAGCATGAACACTGTTACCACAGCAACCAGTTCCTACAGCCCATAAAATTAGCAGATAGAAATATCAGGTTAGACGTCTATTGGCGTCAAAATAGTGACACGGTCCTGCATTCCCACTCGCGTAACTGTTTGGGACCGCAGGCAGTGTAAGAAGTGTCCCCACATCCTTCTGCTGCACAAAAGTGAAGGCAAAATATTGCACTGGTGACATAATTTACAACCAGAGTCCAGTAGTGACCGGAAGGTGGAGACATAATGTTGAGGTCCCGCCTTCTTGTAAAACACCCACTGATGTCATGTAGCCCAGCCACTGCGATCTAGACCATTTTGGACTGTCTTGGACGCTAGTTGTGCAGTGATCATTTTCTAGAAAACTGTAGAACTTCTAGTTGTCCAGCTAGCGGCTTTTCCTGAAACAGTGATCGTGCTCTTAGCTTGGTATTGAAGGCTGGGCAGGAGGCAGCCCCTTAATACCTCATTTCCACCCCCGTGCACGACTACGCTAGTTGCAAATATTGTCACTAACACAAGACACCAGCACACATTTCGGGGATATTTTGGCTTCATTTCTGAGGAGCTGTCATGTCGTCCATCTATGTCTGAGATAATTAAAAGTAAAACGGTGTCAAATCTCAGGGTGTACTCAAGCTTGACAAAATCGTTGGTTTCTGAATGTATCATTCGAAGGAAAACTCCAACACAAACTAAGAAAAGACCAACTAGATTAACAGAACAAAGAAAATTGTGATAAAGGAGGGTTTCTACTTCTATGTAATTAGCAAACATGAAAATTCTAACAAATGACAAACAGGCCAAACAGGTCCTACCAACAGAATGACAAAGCAAATGAATTTTAACGTATGATGGACACAGAGCTGGATGACGGACAATAGCTCTGTTTTCTCAGTGCTCATAGGTAAAGAAAGAGTAGCCTTCTCCTGTGTCATTCCCTCCCCCAGGGCTAAAACAGTGAGTGAGTGAGTGAGTGAGTGAGTGGGAAATGAAGCCCTTACTGGAAAACCGAACCCACCTATTTACTGGCAGTGGATGGGAGTGTTTATGTGGCGGTGGGGAGCAAAAAAAATTAAAATGAATAAAATGGAAATCTGAACTGAGTTTTTTTGACTAGATGCTTAATTTTTTTTTAAAACTACACACAAAATTACACATTTATTGATTTTGCTGCATTTTACCTACATTCAGCACATTTTGCCAAATACTCAAACTCTTAAATCAATGTATAAACACTTACAAACACCTCCTTGATATAGTAAAATAAAGTACATGCTATATAACAGCATCACAAAACAAGGAAAACAATTGTGGGACTTTCTTGCTTCATGTTTTAGGACTGTAGACTTTACAAAGGACGCTTCAATATAGGCTCCACTACTTCTGTTGTTCCATAAATAGAATAGAATAGAATAGAATAGAATAGAATAGAACAGAACAGAATAGAATGCTTTTATAAGCAAAAGCTTGTTCACTGGTGCCAATATGCGGTATGAGCAATATTTGTGTTATTTATTAAATGAAATATTGTCGTGTTAAAAATACAGATATGACCATTATGGTTACAGAGTCTCTTCACCTCCATACACTTGGATTTTGAGTGCAATTAATTTGCCAAAAAAGATCCAATTAACACAATAAACAAAGCTAAAGAGGAATTTGACTGACTGCATTTTCAAAAATGTTCCTTTCTTTCTTTTGCGATATCTTCATCATTCACAATGTGACTGCTTGTTATATACAAGTTTTTCCATCATTAAGGTTTACATTCTTTTAAATAGTATTAGCTTTTGTTTTGCAAGAGGCAAATCATGTCTACATCACAAAACAGAGAACATTTTGATAAAGTTGAACCTTTCTCAACTGCCCCATGTTGCTCCTCTGGGCCTATTGCAAGTGTTTAAATCTTGGTGGGCAGCACAAGGATTTTTTGCGAGGTTTTGTTAACAATGAATGGCATCCTGCAGCGTCTGCAGTGTTTAAATGCTGGGACAGGCAGTAATGCATGCACATGCTACTGTAACTTAAAAGATTGATGTGTAGCCCATGTCTGTTATTGGTTATGTGAAAAAGTCTACACTGCTTCAACATTTGCAGCAGATTACTGTGTTTGATTAACAAACTTACTAGAGTTCATAACATTTGCTAATCACACTTGCCTGATCTTTTTGATGAACTACTTAGACAAAATGACTATTTATTCATGCTCTTGTAAGGAAAAAGTGCATTTTCAGGCAGTAGGGGAACACTTCTTTGAGCTTCTCAACAGAAACCAGAAGTGGTACAGAAATGACATTCCAAGCCCTCCTACTAATGCTATTTGTTATTCTTCCTGACCATATGACTAAACCAAGAAAAGCTGGTTTCCTGTTTTACAGGCCTTTGTAGTTTCCTTTGCCCAGATCACATGGCGCACACACATAAAAAAAAAAAAACTGTAGAATTCCAACTTGTCTTTCCCATTATCAGAGAAAAAGGTAGATTTCCCCAATATGTCCATGGACTGGACTTCTTACAGTCATAGAAACATGTGTGCAGTTACTACAGGGGCCTCTCTCTGCCCCGAATGGATGGTGTGGTACAGATTAACCAGACTCTGCATGTGTCTATGCCTATAAGTGTGTGTGTGCACGCAGGGTCTGTGTGTGTGAAAATCCAGCTCAACACACGTGCCTGTTCGTCTCCAGGGAACTAGGTGAAGAGCCACTCAGCTCCCTTTGAACCTAGGGCCATATGGCCCCCAATATGGTTCTATACTACACACATAATGCCATTACACTATAGACGTTTGTGTGAATGTGTGTGAGACAAATAAAGTGGGTTAGTCGCCAAGACACCAAAAAATGTCGAAATTAAGCGCCTGTGTGTGACACGCATATATTTACCACTCACTTCTTCTTATTATGAATGAGCATTTCCATATGCAGTTTTGAATTTGTGCTCTACTTACCTCACTGTCATGATGTTGGCAGAAGCTCATGCGATCCTGGAACAGGGACAGCAAGGCAAAGTTGTTCTGCAGGGACTGGGCGAGGGACACAGACACCCCTGGCTGGCTTGAGTTGCTGTTTGCGTTGACCCGGCTGAGGTGGAGGTTCTCTCCCAGACGCTCAATGAAGTGGTCTTTGGTGAGACGCACACGCTGGTGCGCCCGCACACAGTTGTCACAGAGGTACTCTTGGCAGTCAAGGCAGTGGGACGTAGCTGGATTCTCCTCATCACAGGAGCTGCACTGAGGCTCTCCCAGGTGGTGCGGGTGCAACAGGCCTCCATGAGGGTGATGGAAGCCAGAGGAGCCTCCACCTAGGCCTCCCCGGTGGTGGTGGTGGCCATTCTTGTTCTGGATCTGCTCCTCTGAGCTCACCACCACATCCAGCAGGTTGCTGAAGAGGAAGTTGGAGGAAGGCAGGGAATCCACCCCAGCCTCAGAGATGGATACCTTCTGGTCACAGGTGGGACACCGCAGCTTCAGCGGGTCTCCAGGACTGCGCTGTCCCTCTAGGCACTGCCTGCAGAAGGCATGCAGGCAGGGCAGGACATGGAGCCTCTTGGTAGTCTGGCTGGAGGAAGACGAGGTATGCGAGGAAGATGATGAGGTAGAAGAGCTGGAGGAGATGGGAGCAGAGGAGCCGCACAACTCCTTACAGAGCGGGCACGTCTGCAGGTCCGAGTCTGGAAACGAAGCCATCTGCAGCGTTACCGAAACAAGGCTGAGTTTACAACACGAGCAGCAGTGAGGTTGAGGTATTCATTTGGGGACACATCGGCCCGTCGTGTTGTACATGTGATAATGTGGTGTCTGAGGTAGATTCATGAGGTGTTTGAAGTCAGTTCAACAGTCAAAACAGTGCTCGTCGACTTCAATCTTTCTTTGTATTATACAGTTCTGTCCGAATGCAAAACAAGGAGGTAGATAGTTCTTCAAAACAGTTCTTCAATTTCTGAGATAAGAAAAATACTTAAGATCAGCTCAGTTGTGTAAGGCGCTGTAGGGTGGATCAGCCTTGTCCTTTTTATAAATAAGACCATCAAGATAACAAATGGCTGCTGTTGGTTCTTCTGTGGACAGAAAGCGTCCGATGGTGTTTCGCTGAAGCTCATAAAATAAACCCGAAGTGACACTGGATCGGCGTCGAAGTACTGGGGGCTCCGTCTCTCCTCCCCCACCAACTCGGCAACATGACTACACAGCTTAGCGCTACAAAGCGGCACCCAGACGAGCACCACGGGATTTATACTTTAGTTTGATTTTCTGCTCTCCAATTCAGGCCCGTGTTTGTTTGCTGTGGTCTCTCCTCTAGTCCACCATCGGGCTCCGGTCGGGCGGCGTCGGGCTTAGCCAACGGTCGTTTGGTCGTCACAGCGCGAGCCTCGGACCGAGAGACCGTAAATTATTCATCAAAGCAACGATCTCATAGTGTGGCCTGGGTCACTGAGGTATCAAGCACGACCACAGCGACGCTCCAGCGAAGCCAAAGCATCGGACAGGACATCTATTTCCAGCCTGTGTGGATGAATTCACCGGCGAAGAGGCCGCTTCCAGCTCTCCGCTTCGTCCGTCGGCTGCTCTCCCTCTCTGGTTCTCTGCGTGGAGGAATGCGCAGGGTTTTTTTTTTTCTCCCCCCGGCAGGGTGGGAAACACGGCGCCCTACAACCGGAGAAAACTCGGTCCAACGACCATATGAATATTGACCGTGTCCCTTACTCGGTTGTTTTAGTTGCCGTTGTTTGCTATCGGTCACATAAACACAGGGTGTGCGCTCCGGTGGGCGCGTGTTGCTTGGGCTGCAGCTCCTCGAGCCGCTCTTATCCGACTGAGAAAAAATGGACCCGCTTCCGCCCCGGGGAGGAGAGGGGGGCGTGCACCGGGCGCTCGCTCCCGAAGCTCAGCGGAGTGCGTGTCAGTGCGTGTGAGTCACGTGCGTGCGCAAGCGCGACGCTCATAAGGTGGCTCAGCTATATGAGTGACAGGGCGGGCGCGCCATTTTGAAAAACTGCTGCTTGTAACATTAGCATGGAAAAGTTAAAGGAAATGAAATAAAGGGAGAAAAACCCGGAGTCATTTATTTTATTAAATTTGCTCTTCTCCAGGGATGTTAAAGGTAATTATGATGGATGTTCAGGAGGCACAGAGTTTAGTGAACCTGGGCCCTGCAGCTGCTGGACTGGAGGAGGTAAAACTAGCTAATGGCTACTGAAGTTACCTGAATACTTTAGCAGCTGGGACATTCAAGATATAAATGAAATTAAAGTTTAAAAAAAAAAAAGTTCCTACCTGCCCCCCTAAGAATCAGCTCTTTTTTTGGCACAATAACATAAGTATATTTAATGAGGCCTTGTAAAATGTCACCTTCATGCTGTTAATATCCAAAGTTACAGGGCTTCCAAGTGTGATTTTTTTATGCATTATTATGTCCAGCATTTTTTTTTTCAGCCTTCATAACTTCAGAAGTACAGAAGACAGCAGTAGTTCATTTTTCAGGGATGACGAACACATTTTATTTAATTAATTTTTTAAAAACCTTTATTTAACCAGGTTGGTGAACTGAGAGCCACTTCTCAATGACAATGACTGTTGGCTCTGTTAAAAATGGAAACCAGATCAGTTTTACATTCAGTCATGATCTAAATGCAAAAATCTCATTTTGTTCTGCAGGATTTTTTTTGTTGTTTATAGCCAATGAAAAGTCTAATTTTCACGTACATTTTGGTATACAGCTAAACTATTTTACAATGTCGACACAGGGAAATAACGCAAATTTAAAAAAACACAACATTTTGACACACCCATATGTACTTCAAATTTTGCATGGCTTGATTAAATATACGAAAGTTATTGTACAAAAAAAATCATCTGATTGTGCGGGGGGTCAGGTGAGAAGCACTGCTTGATTTGTTTTTATGGCACCTGAATATTGACCTCATTTGGAAGTAGAAGTCCACCACGAGCACTCATTTACTTCACGATTAGCTCTTTTATATCATCCTTTTATTGATTAAAATTTGGATTGGTTGGCATTCATTGGTCGATGCACTTTTAATGACAATAACAGGCAATTTTTGATTCGCTACA